TCGGTTGGCTTGATCCCCACACCATTCCACTTTGACCCTTTCACCAACAAACCTTAACTCCATCACAATCCACCACCAACCACTTCCTCCACCATGTTGGTGCAGTGCATTTGGAGCATGCGCAACAGCAACACCACCTACCACCACGCCGGACCAAAACCATATGCACCAACAACACGCCCCACCATTCTGGTTGTCACTCATTCAACGGTGGATGAATTGCATCAACCAGCCACAACAACCTACTCTCTCCATCACAAATACTACGGTTGAGGTGCATTACGTGTCACTGTTGATTAAGCTATTCCCACATCCACGTGTCACCGACTCCTTTCAGCTGTGTTCAACGTGACTGGCTGACTGATGGCAGTGATAATGGAGGTGATGGTGATGATGATGATGGTGGTGGTGGTGGTGATGGTGGTGGTGACGACACGGGACGCAGATATCTCCACCAAGCAAAGGGAAGGGAAGCGAATTCCAGTCATGGTGGAGACTAATGCAAGATAATGGAAGTAAAGTGGAGCGAATCCGTTCCATGACAAACACCCGTGCATCGCCACCATCATCACCATCGTCTACTTCAATTACACTTGCTGTCAACTTCTTCACCACCGCCACCACCGCCACCACCACCGCCACCACCACCGCCACCACCCCCTCATCTCCCTCATCCCATTAACCACGTCGTCGTTGGGATACGCCTCCACACTGACTCAGCCAGTACCACAAACCACTTCTCCTTCCTTTCCATTTCAACGCTCCTTCAGCAAACAAATGCCACATCCTCTTCCTTGTCCTCTATCCATCCACCCACCATCCACCACCCATCACCCACTACCACACTCACCGTCCAACACCTCCGAGCTCCCCACCACCTCACCTCCAACCACCTATCCCATTCCCACTTTCCGCCTCTGGCCTTCTCTATGTGGCGCTCGTCTCCAATGTCCTCTTCACGCAATTCTTCGTCATTAATTTTTTACTTGCCAAAGGCCAGTGAACAATCACTGCAAACAACTGCCACAATTCGTTCAATCAATCGCAGGACAG